GGGAGTGGGAGAGGGAGAAGCAGGCTTCCCGCCGAGCAGGGAGCCCGATGTGGGGCTCGATCCCAGGACCCTGAGATCATGACCTGAGCCAAAGGCAGAGGCTTAACGACTGAGCCACCCAGGCACCCCTCGCTGCAATTTCTAATTGTCAGCATATGTTACTCTATATGCATAGCAAATACATCTACCTGTAGGGAAAGCGCTAAGATGTGGGGTTCATCAGAAGACATAGGCACTTACTTTGATAAATATTGCTAAGTTGCCTTCGAGGGGCTGTCTAGCTGACATGTCCCCAGCAATGTGTGGGGTCATCTGTGTCCTTGCAACGAAACGTGTGTTTTCACACGCAGCTTTCTGCCAGTCTGGTAGGTTTAATAAAAACACAAAACAGCATCTCAGCACTTTTAATGTGCATTGTTCTTATCATGACCGCGGTTGGACATCTTTCCTATGTTTAACAGCCATTTGTATCTCTTTTTTTCCTGTGAGGGATCTTTTCATATCCTTTGCTCATATTTTCATTGGTCTTTTCTTCAGAGATTTGTCCATGTAGATTTATAATTTAAGGAGATTCGCCCTTTGCTGAACTGCACACATTCTTTCCAGGTTTTCATTTGGTTTTTTACTTCGCTTATGTGAGTTTCCTTTGTTTATTTGGCATGCGCAAGCTGTGAACATTTTTTGTTTTTTGGTGCTTGTTTTTACTTTTATTAGCAAATTTATCAATTTGTTATTTTATAGCTTGTGGTTTTTGAGTTGTAATTAGGAAGGATTTTCCCACTCTCAGGTTGTAAAAGAATTCTCCCATATTTTCTCTTGGTACTTTTGTGATTGGTTGGTTTGCTTGTTTGTTTACATGTAAATGTTTAATCCATTCAGAGTTTATACTAGTAGATCGTGTGAGGTATGGCTCCAGCTGAATTTTGTTTCCAGCTGGCTGGTCCGGAGAATCTCGACACCATTTACCATCTAGTCACTGGATTTGGTAGGTGGCCTTTCTCATATACTAAATACACTTACATTCTTCCGAAGCTGTTCCACTGATCAATCTATTCGTGTACTAATACTATGAAGTTTGGGTTTTTTTTTAAGATTTTATTTATTTGTTAGAGAGAGAGAGAGTGTGGGCGAGAGAGAGTGAGCGAGAGTACAAGCAGGGGGAGCTGCAGGCAGAGGGAGAAGCAGGCTCCCTGCTGAGCAAGGAGCCTGATGCGGGACTCGATTCCAGGACCCTGGGATCATGACCTGAGCCGAAGGCAGCCGCTTAACCGACTGAGCCACCCAGGCGTCCCTACTATGAAGTTTTTAATCATCCAGGTGCCATAAGCCTGTTTATATTCGGTGATCTAAGCCAGAGTGTCTCAACCTCGGCACTATTGTCATCTGCCAGATAGGATTCTTTCTTGGTGAGGGCTGTCCAGTTCCTTGTAAGATATTTAGCAGCATCCCCGGTCTCTACCCATTAGATGCCAGTAGCAGATGTGCACACATACACAGTTAAGATAAGCAAAAAAGAAAAAGAAAGAAAAGTTTCCAGATGTCGCCAAATGTCTCGTGGGGGACAAAATCACCCCTGTTGAGAACCACTGGTCTAGGTTGCTTTTTTTTTTCATGGCTTCTTGTTTATTCTTACTTATTTCATCACTGTGTGTTTGCACTGTTCCCTCTACCTGGAATGTCCTCCTCTTACTCACTTCCACATCAGAGTTCAGCTCCGACACTGCCTCCAGGAAGCCTTCTTGGATGACTCTGCTCCATCCTGTGCCCCCTAACCCCAGGTGCTGACCCCCATCATTCTCTATGAAAACGAGCCATTTGCTTGTCTCTCACCCCTGACCAGGGTGTCAGCTCTGAGAAGATCGGGGGTTTGTTCATATCTTTATCTCTAGCCTCTGGCACTGAGCCTGGCACAGGGTAGGATTGGATAAAAAGATAAGTGGGTATTTCTTTTACCCACCTCTTACCAAGAGCCACGAGTTCAGTTGAAGAAGACATGTGTGAAAGATGGGATCTCAACTGTTACCCTGAGTGAAGCCTGGTGTTGAGAAGCAGCAGGGGGTGGGGAGAGTCTTGCCATCTTGCCCGTGTAAAGTGCCCTCTGTGTGCCAAGCAAGGTGGTAGATGAGATGGACGCCATCTCTTGTTAAATATCCTGCAGTGCGCTCTGAGGAATAGGAAAAGGAAAGCTGGGGAAACCCGAAGGGCCTAAGTTGTTTCTGGGAAAAGCTGGATAAATAGTGTCTTCAGCATGAGCCCAGATGTTGGACTCCTACTCTATTCACTTAGGAGGCGCTTAACCTCTTTAGGCCTCAGTTTCCCCATTAGTATGGGGGATAATAGTAGCATCCACCTCGCGAGGCTCCTGTAGGAATGCAGTGTTTCAACCGTACTGATGCGTAACAAACATTCAGCATACAGTAGGCTCTTACTATTTTTATTTTATCTGCTAAGCTTGGACTTAGCTGAAATTTTTTTCCAGCTGGCAGTTGGTTTAAAAATCTCTGAGACTACTATAGACCCAGGGCAGGATGGTTTTCCAGGGGTGGCTCCTTGCAAAGAGCTAGGGGATCCCTGGCAGGAGCCTCCCCCAGGTAGCAGCAGTTCCCCCTCGGGCTGGTGGTTCCTGTCTGACAGGTTCTCCCAGAGCCCTCAACCCTGAGAGCCTTGGGGAGAGGAGAGGAAAAACAAAATGATTACCCTGGGTATGGGCCAGGCTGTGTGTAAGAGAATGATGGTGTTTGGGAACCTCTGACTGACTTTTTTCTAAGGCAAGGAGACCCCAGGATGACTGTGAGCCTCAGGGGCCAAGAAAGAGCCAGCCGCTAGATAAGAAGTGCCCCCCCACCAAAAGCATTTACCCAAGATCTTAGATGAAGCAAAATTATTCAGATATGCATAGGAGGAAACAATAGCAATAAGTAGCATCTATTAAATGCCAGACACTGTGTGCTAACTGGTTGACACAGAGTTACATGAGCCATCCACACATTTCCCTCTCTGGCGATGAGTGGGGTACAATTGTCATACCCAGTCCCCGACTCCCAGTATCAATTCTCTTATTAATTCTGGCCCTGTTTTTCTCTAACCCCAAAGCTCCTTGCCATCTGCCATGCCGTGCTCTGTGTAGGTTCAGTCGGGAGCCAGAAGCACACACTCAATGAGCCACATGTGGATGCAGGCTTTTATCTCACAGCCACTGGGGCGGGAGGAGGCGCTGTCCAAAACGGCCCGAGCAGCCCCGCCTGCACCCTCAGACCTCCTGCCTGCAGCACCATAAAGAGCATACCTGCCCCTGGTGAGACGCTCTAAGAGAGAAAACAGACTTCATCCAAGAAAGAACCCATGCTCATCTTCTGAAGGTCCCCTGAGGCCTACTTGGAAGCCATGGGTGCTGAGATGCTGTCGGTGGGTTTGCCCTGGTCCAGGTTACATCTCTAAGGATGTAGCCCATGCCAGGCGGTGGGGTACAGAGGATTTCTTCTTTCAGAGGTGCTTCCAAGAAAGGAAAATGGCATCTCCCATTTACTTTGTTTCCACCAGGGTCTTTGTCCAGGCCATCTGTCACCTTTCCCCCAGAATCTACAACACTTTCAAGATGTCTCTGCTCCTAGCCTTACCTGGTAGCCTGTGATATTGTGATTTATAATAAGAAATATATATTTGGTCTTTGTCCTTCCATCTTTACCTGTGAAACTTGACCTTGTGAACACATGATACAGCATGTAAGTGTCCTCAGGAAGGCCTACCCCGATGAATCATTACCAACTGTCCTGGCTCCTAGGACCACTGCTCATCGCAACTTCGACTTCGTATCTGTTCGTGTGACTATTGGTTCCTGCTTCCTCCTCTAGTCCATTAGGGCAAATGGTGTCTTTCTTTTTCTTACAACTTATCCCCAGAGCTTAGCATAATGCCTGAACATAGTAGATACTCAATATATATTTGAGTGAATAGTGAATGAAGGATAGCATAATTTCGTAGGTAATGCTAATATTTATGTGCCAGTGATGTTCTAAGTGTGTTACAAATATTACAATCTTCCTAACAATCTATGGGGGTGAGTAGTACCCCAATTTTATCCATGAGGAAATTCAACTATAATCTCATAACTAGTAAGAGCCAGGATTTGAACCTCGAGAGTCTGGCTCCAGAGCCTGAAGTAAGTTTAACCACCATGTTATTCCGGCCTGTGTTATTCTCCCACATTTTAGTAAATCCATAAATTTCATTTGGTGCTAGATTGTTATCATGTCATGCCTTGTACCTCTTACTTGCAATGAATTGTATTCAACATGACATTGGAAAATTTCTGTGATAAAACATTTTATTTGCCAGATAGGACTCTAGGAATACGCATTCTACATTTTAGCAGAAACCAATTGTACATATTAATCAAAATTCGGTGGCAAACCAATGAAGAATGGACATCATAGCACATCAAACACTAGCACACTGCTGGTGTGCTAGCTGATAACAAATCCTTAATATACTCAGTCATTCCATTCTCTTTTACGGGGCATGTATAAAAGTTTGCCCACCCCGGCCCTGAGAAAAATGTCTTCCTGGAGTTGGCAGTATGCTTCATCTTTCTGCTTGGCAAGGCTTTCATCCTGGGGAGAAGCAAGGCTTCCTTCTATCCCTAATGCCCTCAGAACCCTTCTCTGTCCTTTGCAGTGGTCAGAATAATGCGGACCCCTATCTCAAAAGGAATTATCTATCTATCTCAAGGCCCGTCTTGTATTCAGAGGTTTTGATTTCTTTACATTTGTGTTCCTGGTTCCTTTGTACTTTGCAAAATCACCCTCACCCCCTTGGAGGAAAGTGACAGGGACGTGAATCCAGGCTTTCTTAGGTAACCTGCACTTTTTCACTTTTCTAGGTGGAATTGGAAGTGGTCTACCACCCCCTGGAGATGGCTTTAGCTCCTGTGTCCTGGAGATTTATTTGGCTCCTTTGCCAAGGTCAGTCCACCCAAACCAGTGGGCATCAGGTTGCTGGCCGTATAGCTGGGGCTTCGGGGACTCACTTAGGATGGCTGAGCCAGATCCTGCCTCAGCTCAGGCTACCGCCTTTCACCCCCACCTCTGAAACCCCAAGCTGACCTGACATGATGAATCTCTTCTGTTTGCCTTACCCCCAACCCCCCTGCCCAGATCCATCCCCTACCCTTTGTGCCTTGCTCTGCTTCTAGGCGGGTTTGGCCACTGGGATTCACTGCAGTCTGCAGAGGATCCAGGGATGGGAAGAGAGGGAGGTCTAGATATTTATTCTCCTTTCCTCCTCCTGATTGACTGAGGTTCTGGCTGTGGCTGGGGTCCTCTGTAGCCACAGTTCCATGAGGTTGCCCTTCTTCTTCAGGGGGCTCCAGCAAAACCATTTCTTCCCCTCACCTCCTTTAGGCCTAGGGGAAATAATGGCTCCCCAGTGGCTAGTCCCTGGGTACCTTATTACCTGTTGTGGTTCTTTTAATCTTGCCCATCTCCATCAATGATCCCTTCACTAAAGTCTCTTCAGTTAAACCCTTTCAAGTGTGCCATCTTCCTGCTGGTACTCTGAAACTTTCTGGATGCATCTTTATGGCTTTTTCAATATGTGTACGGTCCTTGACATTTCTGGAGAACTGCAGTAGCCTGGGCTGCCTCTCCTATGTCCAGCAGCTCCTGCCATCTCCTGCATGTGGAGAATGCCAGCACCACTCCCAAGTATAACCCCTGTGCCGGTGGGCCCCTGATCCCAGGGCTCCCAGGGGAGGGAACCGGGGTGAGGGGGAACCCTCAGATGTTAGCGCCCATAATGCTCTCTTGGTCAGACCAGATCTTTATTCTACTCGAGCTTTCTCACGGCCTCATCCTCCCTCCACCTCCAGCCCCATTCATTCAACAGATCTTTATGGGAGACCTGCAACGTGCAGACACAGGCTGGGCACACAGCTCTACCATCTGCTGTCATGTCAGCATTTCACTCAAATGATGCTCCTTTTTGGGTTTTGTAGTGGATGCTCCTGGGCAATGACTCATACTTAAAATCTACATTTGCTCACATTTAAAATCTTCAAATACCAGAGAACTGTAAATTATCTGTCACTTCTAATTCCTGGGCCAGTCGTTCAAGGAAGCAAACCCAGTTGGAGGCAACCTCCTTAAGGGGTCTTGCCCTTTCCTATTTTCTGATTGGGGGACACTTAGATTGTCTGGGCTCCAGGCCTTCCATGTGGCCCCCAAGGAACTGGACCTTGACAGCAGCCACCAGCAAGGCTCTAGGTGCGGTGGTGCAAGGATCTGAATGACCTTGGGTCTTGTAGGGGTCCTTGCTCAGACCCAGGACAGTGCTTCTCTGACAGCAGAGGGGCTGACTGCCTCCAGGCCACACTGGGGACAGGTGCCAATGTGGATGACAGCAAAGATGTTACTTGGTATTCAGCCTGCAGAGGTTAAAAGTATTTATTTATATGACAGTGAAATTTTGTAAATGACCTTAATGTCTACCAACAGGAAATAAGTAAGTCGGAGTACATATGTCATTACAGAATACTATATTGCCATTAGAAAGAATTTAATGGATCTATGTGTACTGAAATGGAAAGATGTTGAAAACATATGGCTAAGTAAGAAAAAAACAGTTTCAAGATAGCAAATATAGTTGAATTCTGTGATATAAAAATATTTGAAAGATGTATATATTTTTTAAAAAGCCTAAATGTGTATGTGTATGTATGTGTGTGTGTATTACATACTTGTAAATTATAGAACAGAGATGGGAAAAGTCTCTAGCAAGAGTGGTCACCTCCAGAGGCAGAAGTAAGAGGAAAGGACGTGATGAAGGGGAATCTTCTTCAAATTTGGGGCGGTGGTATGCTTCTGACCATTTGGATCTTTACAGTAAGAACAAATTCACGTATCAGATAATTAACTCCTTCTTCCCCCAAAGAAGAGAGACGAAGAAAGAAAGAACTATTATTAACGAAGAGGAAGGGACTGAGAGGGGAAGGGGCAGTCACTGAAAGGGCTCTTTCATTTTTTCCTCTGTATACTTCTGTATTCTTGAATTTGTGCAATAGGAACATACTCGCGCTTTTCTGGTGTAGCTATTTTTTATCATGCAAAGGCTCATTTATGGACTCAACAGCTAATATCTTTGTCTTTGCTCAGTGCTGAGCACTGCGCTCTGCCCTTGATCGGCTATAATCCTCGCAATATTCTGTGAGTCACATATTATCATCCCATTTTATAGAAAAGGAACCAAAGACCTGATGGCCAAGCCCACGTTCTCTACTCCTGCTGTACGCCACATGCCAGGGCGGGTACCAGAGGGAATGAGGCTTCCCGCCTTCGTGTAAGTGGAACCTAGTGAAGAGGGAAAACAGGAGAGAAAGGTGAAAGAAATGAACAGACTGAGGAAAAGAAGCAGAAGCATTTACCGGAAAGAAATGCTCAGAGAAATAGCCCTGGTAAAGCTGAATGACACCAGAAAGTCATCAGAGGTGGTTTGGTGGGCCAGAACCCCCATAAACATTTTCATTTGGTTCTGCACACCCAGACGCCTCGTGTCACACTGAAGCTCTGTCCAGGTGATTCTAATAATAGCCCAGTGGAATCCTGTGGTTGGAGGAGACTGAGAGAGGTCACTGAGCCTGTCTTCCGCCTGCAGAAGGGAGTGAGTGTTCTTACTTACTGCAGGCAGTAAGTAACGGAGGCATTACTTACTGGAGGCAACGAGTAACGTAAGTTACTAGATCAAAGTCAGTCCCCCACCCTGCCCCTGAAGTCGGCAAAGGAGTGGAACTGTGTACTGGACCCCGGGGCACTGACAGTCTCATGAATCAGCATGTGGGAAATTATGTTCATACTGCAGCTCTTTACAAAGGAAACAACTGTCCACCCCTCTTTTCCAGCTGGTAGACATCTGGTGGGGGAAGGGTGTCAGCTGGGGAAATGAAAAGGAGTCACTAGAATGCCCCTTCTTGAAGAGTGGCATCCGGAGGAGGACTGGGGACCGCTGGAAGGAGTTGGGTGTTAGTTGTTCATGCATCATTGGGTCACTCTTTCTTCCGGTTATCCTGCTTCCTCAGGACGTGGCTCAGGACACTGGATCAGGCAGGGTATGTTACGAGTGATTAAGGGCCTTACAAGAGATTAAGAGAATTACATTCAGAGACTCCATCTAGCCAAAGGCTGAAGGGCAATGGCTGGTGATTCTCTGAGTAGATTTATGCATGGAAAATAGAGAATTACTGGAGCTGGTTCCAGGGCTTAGGGCTTTGAATAATGAGAATAATGCAGAAACAAGTTCTCTGAGGGAAAATGGCTCCTCAGTCAAGGGCATTGAGAGGACTGTTGAGTTGGTTATGACCTGAATGAAGATGCAAATCTGACAACAGTGATGCAGGAAGCAATCCATAGGATAAAGGTCACCTTTGGGCCACTGTGGTTAATTGGGCCAGAACTAGGGCGAGGCGCTCACCTTGAGTGCAAAATTTAAGGGGACATCAAAAAACTCAGCAATCTAGAATGAAGCGGAGGAAATCGGAGGGGTAGACGAACCATGAGAGACGATGGACTCTGAAAAACAAACAGGGTTCTAGAGGGGAGGGGGTGGGAGGATGGGTTAGCCTGGTGGTGGGTATTGAGGAGGGCACATTCTGCATGGAGCACTGGGTGTTATGCACAAACAATGAATCATGGAACACTTCATCTAAAACTAATGATGTAATGTATGGGGATTAACATAAGAATAAAAAAAAAAAAACTCAGCAATCAAGAAAAATAATATTTTAATGCTGTATTTCTTAAAAAATCAGAATTATGCTCTCAAAATGCCACAAAACATCCATGATGAGCAAAATATCCAAATTTTAAATTAAAAAAATCAGTGCCAGTTTGAGCCATAGTGGAGCCTGAGGCAAAAGGAAAAATGTGTGCCCCTGGCATGAGTGAAAGCAAACTCCATTTGGGTATTTTCCAAATATGCTTCTTTGCTTATCTCATTTTTAATTGAGAGAATTGCCACGTCTGACAATTGCTCTGGACTAAGTGACAACCTTAAATAATTTTTAATTAATTTAAGCAGAACTAAAATGAGAGTAAATTCTACTTGGGTATAAGTCAAATATTTAAACTTAAAATAATGCTGTGAGTTTTAATACACCCACTTTTCAATCTTTCAATATTTCTTCAACTACTTTAATGTTCTAGAAAGAAATTAATCATTTAAAAAATGCATATGGAGATACACAGCTTTCCTTCAGACTCCACCATAGCCCCTCATTGCTGTGGTGGTAAATAAACCACAGCAGATGGTCTCCAGCCCAAAGTTGGGTATGTCTGTGTCAGACGTGAGGGGGCGCGGTGCTGATTACTCCTCCCCTCAGTCTACAAAAGGCCCTTCTACCTCCCTGGGGTCCCCCTTTGGGATTGGGGATACAGGGAATCATCTCATTACACACCTTTCTCAGAGGCCATGAGATTATGGAAACTGGGGACGATGACATTATCCCATATGCATTGCTTGAGGCGTCCCTGGCCTTTGGGAGGCGGTCACTTTGAATCAAAGGCCAAGGGCACATAGCACACGCCTGATAAAGATCTATGGGTGTGAATTCTCTTCTCTAGGCAATTTTAAAGAAACACCGTTTGGAAACTCTTGGCTAGAAGAAACTTCCTGAGATAATGAGGTTTTTTTTTCCTTATTACTAAAAAAAAATCCGTAATAGGCTCGTATGGTTCAAAATTCACAAAGATATAAAAAGGTAAAGATTAAGAAGCTGTTTTCCACCTTGTTCCACACTCTCCCCTTCCCCATATAAACAGGCAATAACATATCAGTTTCTTGGCAATCAGGGCTTTTTAAAAAATAGTGTTAAAATAGGTTTTATGAGTTAGCCTGGGACCCACCCAACTCTTTCTGGATCAGACTCTCTAGCTGGTACAGAGGGCTCCGCAGAGAGGTCCTATCTTGCATGTAC